CGGCCTGTTTTTCAGTGTAGTCCTGTTTCTCTGACTGTGACTAACTGGATGTGCTCTCTTCATCCTCTGACATGGGAGCTGGTTGACAGTTACCTTTTGTATCTATGTTTCTTTTCCTATGTCTACTTCTGTCTCCCTCAGCCCCAGTCAACCTCGGCAGATGGCCGAGCATACTAAGCCTGGTTCTGGTTCTGCTGGAGTTTCTTCTTGTTAAAAGGGAGTTTTCCTCTCCACTGTCCAACAAGCATGCTTGGTGTGAGGGATTTCTATTGAGTCAGTGCCATCAGCTGGTTTTCCTCAGACAGAAAACTTTGAACCAATCTGACTGGATGATCTGGTTGAATTGTTTCTGTAAAATACCTTGAGATGACATGTGTGGTGAAATGTAGCTGTAGAAATAAACTACATTGACTAACTGGATGCTCTCTTTTATCTTTTGACATGAAAACTGGATCAGAGCTCGTCTATTTAACTGTTCCTTTCCCAGACAGAGCCACCTGTGGAGCTAATTCACTCTAAGTTTTTCTAACATAGAAAGTATTTATAGATTAGTGCCTCTATGTTGCTTTTCTATTCCTGCTTCTGCCTGCTAGAACCCCGGTCGTCCTCAGCAGATGGCCGCTCACTCTGAGCCTGGTTCTGGTTCTGCTGGGGTTTTTTTTCTTCTTCCAGCTCATCCAGGAGGAGTAAATCAGCTGCTTATCCTTGTTCTTTTAATCGCACCAGACGATCTGATTGGATTTTTTCTGTAAAGTGCCTTGAGATTAAACATTGTACTATAGAAAAACTAAACTGAGTTAAAATAAACTGGATCAGACAGTCTGATCACTGAAGCCAAACAGGAGCAGACTGCTTTCACTGTCTGACCAGTAGGGGGCAGTAGCTACATGTTGGGCCCTACACTGAACCCAGAGCTGCAGAACTCCTACCTGGACCACAACAGGTGTGATGGAACCGCTGAACATCAGCATGAAGGTGAGCAACTGGAAACACAACAAGCATCTAGAACAAGAAACACAGACGAGAACATGATGAGTTTCAGAGAGAGAGAGAAAGAGGGAGAAAACCGGAGTACAGCTCACCTGCCACCTGGTTGCTGCTCCTGATTGGTCGATGCCGCCTGCAGCACCGAGCCGACCACCCTTTGGATCTGAACCCAGGCCAGCTGTGAGGTGGAAGCTCCCAGCTGCTGCAGCAGGAAAGTTCTGATCTGAGAGACGGAGAACAAATGCTCAGGAACTCATGTTGTCACCGACTCCTCCAGGAACAGGTCCATCTGCAGGTGTTTAACCTTCATCTGTTGTCCAGGAGCACTCTGATTGGCCCACACTACGCTGATGTCATGCATAAAGGCAGTCAGAGGGGTCACAGAGGTCACCAAGACAAAGACATTTACCATGGCAACCAGAGCAGGAGACTGGGTTTGGTCAGGAGAGCGACTGTCAGAGAAACAGAAAACAAACAGCCTCACATTGACATCTAGTTGGACCTCTGTCTCCAACCAGATCAGAGAGACGGGAACAAAGGCTACTCTCTGGTGGGAACTGGTCCACACCTGTCCTGAGGAAAGTCAGGCTTCTGATTGGATGATCCACAGGAGTGAGGCTTCATGTCAAGGTCAGGTTCTGCAGAAAGAGGTGAAAAGGTCAAACATTGACCCTAAGGACACCTGTTCTGGTGGCTCCCTGAAGTGAACGTACCTGCCAGCTGTTGGTAAAAGTGACATAGACCTCCACCTACGTCTGAAAATGCCTCCATCAGCTCAGGAAGCAGGTTTACCTGGATGCACATGTTAGCAACATGTTAGCTTATTCTATTGCTCCAAAGACTTTGACTCATTTCTAAGGTCGTGATCCTAAAATCCCTATCCCAATAGCACGGCTCGTTAGCAGTGTGTCCTCACAATGTGCTATGTTTGGAAAAACTGTTGGAGCACACACACAACAACAAACCCAGGTGAACTCTGATGTCATCAAACTTTCCATGTGAGTCTCACCATCTGATGCTGCTGCAGGTGTGAGAAGCTGATTCTCCTCAAACAGCTCCGCTCTGAAGTACTGAGGCACAGCAGGAGGCTCCACCCACCCGCACCTGGAATCAGGAAGAAAGGGGAGGAGTCAACACCTGGCAAAGAATGCTGTCTGGAACTCAAAGAATGGATGCCGAACTTCTCACTACTGTTCTGGGTGCTAATTAGATTTTTGAGGAGTTTCAGCAGCAGTACGGTCGTCACGAATATCAAATAAAATTTATAGTCCCCACACTGCATTTGCACAGGGACAAATAATACCTTTCAATAAACAAAACATTAACCGCAACATATCTGACTCAATAACCATTAAAAAAATATTTTCATTCATTTCAGACGGAACCATTCTCACACTTGTATAATATTAAACTGCACTTCCACTATTCACAACTGTTCAGCACCATTTCCCATTTTCCTCTGAGCATAGAGCAGCCGGCTTGCTTGGATGAGCAATGCATCCTGGGATACCCAAGGCTACGGAGGATACAGCAAAACAGGCAAAAAGGAGGATGCATTTGTCGTCCGCATAAGGAGGAGTCTTCAGAAGAGACCTCAGCACCTCGCTATGATGTAATCGGGCGAAGAATCTTACCTTCAGTGGACGGAGTCGCTGAATACGAATTGTAACAGCAAATCCCATAATGCTTTGCGAGGAGAGCTCTCAGAGCAAAGCATTCTGGGATATATCTGCCTCTTCCGAGGCCTTTCTTTTCTTCTCAAACTCTTCTAAGACACTTTTTCTCCTACGACCCTTGGCCATTTTCAAAGAACCTAAGTGAGACAGGTGAGCTGCAATGACTGTCCTACGGTTTCAATGACTGAAAAGGTAGCTCCCCACAGATATACGCCTGAAAGGGCCCATCAGCAGGAAAAGATAGCTAACGGAACAAGCGTAGGACGGCCTTACATAAACATATCACCAGAGTGAATGACATTTAGGAGGAGCACTTAGTTAGGGGATCCACCTGGATATAAAAGATCTTCCTCTATACCTTTAAAGCAAAGTAACCGTGAGTCCACGGTTGCCATTATTAGCGTTTTCGGAAGATCCATCTGGCCAGTGAAAAATATATTAACCTAACAGGGAACGGCCTTGATGAACTCAACTAGTTTTCCCTCTAAATAATCAAGTGTGAGGAAAGTTCTTTATGCAGGGGGTGGGTTGGTTCGCCAGGGGGGAGTGTGTAAGGTATAAATGTATGTGCTGAGGTTGCCTCAGTCAGAGCCCTATCTCTCCATCTGAGGACGTTAAATAAATTTGAACCTTTTTTCTTGCAAGAAATGCCTCAGCTCCCTAACTCCACAGCTTTTTACTATAAAAAAAATAAACAAAACACACAAAACAAATTGACATTGTTGAAACTATATAGTATTTGGTTATTTAACCCCTTCATTTCATCAAAAATAATAATAAGCAAATAAAAAAAAAAAAAACCAAAAAAGCCTGATGGGGCTCCTTATTTATTAATTTTTATCTTCATCTACCACATTATACATGTCAGATTAAATAATACTACATATACTTAAGTCATGGTATCAAGGTGCTACTTTATTGTGTCTGTTATACTATATCTGTTGGTTGTTCTTTTTACATCTGTCTTATAGGTGATGAAGAAAATGTTATATCGTTATCTCCCTTTTATCTCCTCTTACTTTCATCTTTTCTCCTTTTATTTGTATTTCCTTTCCTGTTCTACTTACAATGCAGTGTCCATATAAACTGAATTACTCCCTGCATGAAAGCAATTTATATGCATAAATCAAGGGGAACACTATGGCAATAGCCGTACTGCTCCACTTGTGAAAATAAAATCTGCTGGACTCTTTTTTTGGCATCAAGACAATTATTTTTAATGCGAAATTGCCAGACAATGTGGCATTGTAAAAACTATAAAGTATTTGGTTATTTAACCCCTTAAATTATGTTCTGGTTCATCAGAAATAATAATAATAATAAACAAGCCTGAAGGAGCTCCTTAACTAAAATATTGACCAATGCTTTGAGGAAAACGCTGCATTCAGGTGTCAGATTTCTGCACCTATTGATGGTGTGTTGGTGAAATGTTCACCAGCGAGGTGCTCTAATGTGTCTGAGTGGTTTGTTTGATTCTCTTTAAAACCACAACTTAATATCAATATTTAAATTTACTGAATCATTAGTAAATTGTTATCATTTTTTTT